GAGAGAGAGAGAGAGAGAGAGAGAGAGAGAGAGAGAGAGAGAGAGAGAGCATTCGCCTCCGGCAGATGCCCTATTCATCCCACAGAGGATACTTTGTTACATCTAAATGGCCCTTTGGCTTATACAGGCCCGGGATGTTAATGTGCCACAGGATCTGCTATCACGATCAAAGGAAGTCATTCTGGATCCAACTGAGCACCCAAGATAAACATGGACCCGAGTCTGGTACCGCTCAAATCTGATCAGACTTACTGATCAGTCATAACAAAACAAAACACTGATACACAAAGTTATAAGCTCAGTTCAGTGTCTGTAAGAGCAGGCTGAGGATGAAGCTTATTGATCGGGAGAGGTAGAGGCTAATAGGCCTTTAGTCAACCTCATGAGGTGGAATGAAACAGCACGTCATTCAATAAAGCAGTAAACTCGTCACTCAAACGACCAATCCTGTTCTCTGACTTGATGAAAGTTGAATACAAAGGCTGAGCACGGAGAGGGTTTTGCATCCCATATAAATATAGCTGCAGGCGTTGTAATGTTTCAATGACAGCATTATGTTTTAATAACAACAACCGATCATCATTCGGGCAGTTTGTTAAAAAACATTAGTCCGTTTCTTTAGAAATTGTAGATATCTGTTCTGTGAAAATGACACAATAAGAGATTTATAGGCATTTCTACAGCATAGCTCTGTCGGTGTGAGTTAAGAGGGAATGCAGTCATCCTTTCTTTCTTTCTTTACCTTTGAACAAGAAATCGTATTCATCGTCTCGGTTCCCCATTCTGGACGAGGCCGCTCCGACGCTCGTCTCCCGAAGAGGATGTCTTTAAAGTATGGGTGTGAATTGTCGTTATATGACAGAAAAATGAGGAAAAGGTTTGCGCGGAGACTCTGCGCCAGTGTTGGCTGTCAAGGCGAGCTGGCCGCAGAAAGAGAGCTCCCAACTCTGCAGCGGGAGGGGAGGAGTCCCTGCGCTTCAAATAGCTTCCTCAGGGGGCGCTCTTTACTGGCATGCCAGCAGATAACAAATGTTATGGTGGATGTATTTTGTTCTGTACAAGAAACTGACTTCAAGACTGGAAATAAATGATATATAGTGACAATTTAAATCAGTGGGGCAAGTTGCAAGTTATGAGGGAATTTAATAAAAGATGAAGGAATGGTCTCATTATAAAAACATGTGTTTTCCAACATGTAATAGATAAAACTAATGCGTTTTAAGAAGTGTTACCTATGGGGTTTGTACTTTTGGCATCATCAGTCTGTTTTTCTATCATTGTTTACTGTTTTTATGTTCATGTCTTATTTTTCTTTATATATATATATATATATATATATATATATATTTTGTTCACTTTTTCTTTGTGTTTTTCATTTGTTTGTATACAATGTAATCTTTGAGTCTGTAACATACATATTTTATAATAAAGATTACAATAAAAATACATTTTAAAAAATGGAAACTAATTTTTAAGAAAATGCATATAAAATATGCAATTCTAGTGACAAAATATGTATTGTTGAATTTTGAAATTGAGTCAGGCTGTTAGCCAGATTAAATATAGATATCCACACATGTATTGTGAAAAAGAAAATATGCCAAATTGGCTCACTTCAGTTATAGCTACTAACAATTGGATTGTAGAAATCTAAATGTGAGTTTTTCCAAGTAACAATTGCATTGCAGTGTTCATTCTGGATATCAAAAATGGGAATATGAAATTTAAAGCCTAATACATATAGAAAAAGTGACATCATTTTACCTATAGAAAGAATGTATTTGTGGATATTTAAAATTACAATTGTGGATAGAAAAATGTCATTGTGGATATGTTAAATCCTCTATTTGATTAGGAAGAATCTAGTTATTTATTTAGTTGTTCGTTCTATACTGAAGTGGAGATTTCGGAATATGAGAAAAGCCTTGTTTGGAAAAACTGCCTTTAAAGAGATTGTAAAATTCCAACCATTTTGAGGACACTAGGGTAAAACATTTAACTTAGAGTTATCACCATGACACTTAACCATATGATTATTCACATTAAGACATTTGTTTGTATTACATGTTTTCTGAAATTGTATGTTTAAATATGCAACTGATTTTCAACTTTACTTTTGGTGAATTTTGAGAAAATCTAAAGACGCAAATCGACAAAGACAAGTTTAATAAACAACTAAATGTGTATCTTTTTATGTTTTCTTTCCACTAGTCTGAAGGAAGACGCGTTAAAGAAGCAAAATAGCCCAAACTCTCAAAAATGAAGAGTGCCCAAGGTTTTGCCTTAAATTAGATATCTGCAACATATCCAGTTGAGCTATTAAATGTTAAAACAGCCACTTGTACTTTTTAAGGATATCTTAAATTTAGTTTTGACTGGTACAATCAAAGTTGTAGATATCTTGAAAAATCACTTCTAATAGTAAGAATGTATTTTTTGATATCTTTAATCACCATTTAGATTATAGGAGAAATGCTATTATGGATATCTGAAATGTAATTACAGATAGGAGTGTGTTAAATGTTAAAACGGCTTGCCATAGTATGTTTGCACATGAACAAATTCTCCATATATATCAAGTTATAGACTATTTTCTCACAGTCAGGGCAGACTTGTCTTTTATGAATAAGATTACAAACAGTATCTTAATAAAATTAAGACTTTAAAGAAAAAATACGAACTAAAAAAAGATAACATATGCCGTATCTTTAAATGATTTTGTAGGCCATGATGTGACAGTGTTTGTAGTCAAGTACCGGAGCAATCCTACGCTGGGCTTTTGTGACAATAATGCCTCGTAACAGTGAGAAACTCCAAGGACACACTATGCACCAACTGTGATTTATTGTAATATATTGGGACATTTTTTGATTCATAACTATGCATTCAAATTAAGCCCATCTTTAATTGAGTCAGTCACCAGTGACGGAATAAAATCAGTTCTTCAATGCGCTGATTTCCTGATTGGAGAGACGATATTGTCTCGTTATAAAAGCACAACGAATTTTCTTTTTAGGGTGGACTTGCCCTTTAAAGTTTTGCTGACAGCTGGCCCCGCCCCTGCCCATCAGCTCTGCTCCTATTGGCTGAGCGGAAGGTCAGCTGCTGGAGCAGTAAGCACGTGCAACTCCGCGCATTTGAAGATCAAGATGGCAGCCTCCGTGTGTCGGTGCTACGAGGTTAGACCATTCATGTCCTTCATTACAGTTCTTTAGTCTCTAGCAGATCATTTAGTGAAGGGAGTAGACATATTCAGCTTGTAGTTAGTCTGTCAACGTCTAGTCACGTGAAGGGGATTTTGTAGGTTGTTTTTTTATGTGTAAAATCGCGAGATGTCCGTTAGAAAAGGCCTTGCTGCATCAGACTAACGACAGGGTTTTTAATGTTCTTGTTCACCTATCAACGTCTAAAGTTAACTTATTGTTTTAGGTTTGTTTGGGGGCTTAAAACCGGTAACATTTAATTAACAAGTGAGCCGTTTAGACGCGTACATGTAGCCTGGTACTAACTCAGTTATGAAACCTAACAGGCGTAATATCCCCATTAATCATGGTGGTACAATCACTTGTTTAAGTATAGTTATTATACCAAGTTATGTGACCTGGCAAGGAATTTCAGCTTTGTAAATGGTTTTATCAAACTTGCGTATCACTACTGTTACTCAACATGGTGCTCCTTTAGTCTCAACGTAGGTTGGGTCAGCGAGCCAGCACATTCCACCAAAAAGGGACTTTATTGGCTGTGAACAAACTTAAATAATATTGAAACAAACAGTTGAATACTGGAATTAATCATAAATGTAACTATACCAACAACTGGTGAACCTTAAAGAATAACTCGCAAGCATCAGGGAACACCAGGTCTGGGTTGTGAAAGAGTAAACAGATCAATGTTTTCTCCTCCTAGTTATAAGAGCACCGAGTTCACCTGTGTCAAGTTGACTCCACACAGCACAGGTTAGCCTGTGGCTCCTCCCACAGCTCATCAGGGTCATGGCAGAGATAGAAGACAGTCAACAATAATATAATATATTAGTATAGCACGCCCACTACCCATGCAAATACAGACAGGTGACACATTTTATTAAACTCATCTATTTAAATCTGCTTTTAACCTGCAGAGCTAGTTATGTATGGTTTTGTGGTGTTCCTTACTGTTATGTCATCTCTTCTGTTCATATTGTAATTGCGCCTATTGTTTCTGTTTTTTACCATGTAAAGTGTCTTTGAGTACCTTTTTTAAAGCGCTATATAAATAAAATGTATTATTATTATTAACCTGGCGAAGGTGTCCAGGTGTGTGTAAATATTGCCCAGATTGAGCCAAGACTCAATTACCACCCTGCAAACGACCAAAACAAATAGTGAATGGGGTTCTTACAAGTAGCAACATGACTCCTCTCTTCCTGCCATTTACCTATTGTATATTCTTGCTCGTTGCTGAGGGGGAAGGACTGCTTAGTATCTCATTAACCACCTGTCACTCATTCTCCATCCACTGCAGTGTTGGCGGAGTTGATGTGTTTTGTTTTTGTACTAACCGTTTCTCTCCATTGCAGCTGGTTGGCAGACGTGCCTTGAGCCTCTGCTCCCGGCCTGCTGTCTCTTCAGTGTGGAGAGGAGATGCCTATACGTTACATAGGAGCCCAGCTGCAACTGTGCAGGTAACCACTGCTGGCTCCCATTTACCTTAACGGGACGCATACTGATTGATCACTTAATTACATAAAAGAAAATGATCAGTTGTTTGTGTAGAATTAATTTAGGTTAAGTTGTTTTTTACCTTAATGTGAATTGTCTGTTAACTCTATCTAAGCGTCTGTCTGTCCAACTTAAGTCCTACTTTCTATTTATCTCATGAGGTGCGATATGCTTCGGGACGTAAAGGTTTCTTCGGAGAGTTTGTGGATAACCTGCGGCAGGAATTCGGTAAGAATCAGGAGATGAAAGAGAACATAAAGAAGTTCAGAGAAGAGGCCAAGAGGCTTGAGGAGTCTGATGCTCTCCAACAAGCACGCAGGAAATATGTAAGAACATTATTTGGTTTGTATCTATATTTCAATAATGATATAATATCTGCATCAACCAGGATTTGTTTTACATTATTTTTAATTTTAGTAACACGCCCTCATTATGTTTTTTATTTCCTTTAATAGAAATCTATAGAGTCCGAGTCCGTGAAGACTTCAGAGGTGTTTAAGAAGACCTTCGGCTCCTTGTCAGAGACCGTCAAGGAGGTAAGGTATCACCACTTCTACACTATGGGTGTCCAAAAATAAATGGCCTCAAATGAGAAAATAAAGTAATCGTATACATCGTATATTTAACTATACCGACTGACTATTAGCATCTGTCTCTGTGTTTGTGTATGTGCATGGATTACCGTTCTGGCCATAGGGTCTTGAGGAGGTGAGTCGTACTGACATCGGGAAGAAGATCAAGGAAAGTGTGGAGGAGGCTGCCAAGACGGCCATGCACTCCGCTGAGTCCGTCTCCAAAGGAGGAGAGAAACTGGGCAGAACCGGCGCATTCAGGGCCATCTCACAGGTCAGAAGAGAAAAAAAACAATATCCACGAGTTAACAAGGTTTCACCCTCAAAATGTGTACTTTACTTGCACCCTAGTTGTTGCGTCAGTATTTGGCTTATATTATTGCAAAAGAGTCGGCGTGTTTACTGTAGCTATTTACAGAGAAATTGAAATTACTGAAAACCCCAGTGTTCTCAAACGGTGAACGTCACAGGGTCTTGTAGTTCTGGCTTGCCAGCCACAGACGCCTGATTAGCATTGTCAAATAATCAACAGTTGCTACACCATCAAAGCTTTCGGATGAAACTTGCTTTTGAATTTAGGCTCCACAAAAGGCCAAGACTGCAGTTATTCGGCTCATGAGGTGTACTGACCTGAAAGTCCTGTACTGAACGGTTTGGCATAACTACGGTTACATCCCTGTTATAATACAACTGTGTGTGATCTCTGTAGGGTGTGGAGACCATGAAGAAGGAGATAGAAGTTGGGGATGCCGGCCCTTACAGAGCTCCCTCGCAGCTAAGGAAGAGAAGCGATTTCTCCTCCAAAGGAGCCGACAGCGACTCCAGAGTGTTCGAGGCCGATGAGTGAGTTTCCCCTCTCACCCCTCTCTTCTGTAAAAATGTGTCTTCACTTCCCGTCTAATGATGGAAGTCATTTTCTTGTATTTTTTTGATGCAGAGAGGCTATGGGTGTCGTTCTCCACAAGGATTCAAAGTGGTACCAGCAGTGGAAGGAATTCAAGGACGATAACGTAGTTTTTAATAGTAAGGAAATCCTCTGGATACATTCTCAGATACTGTGTGTCTGTGTTCTTTTTATAACATATCAAAATCATCTACTGTTTTCACTTATGTAGTTCCCTTTAAAGGCAGCAAGTGGCACCAGATTCTTTACAGTAGATTGCATTATGGACTAATACAATTCAGTTATTAGGTGTTTATTGAGACCATAGAGCCCTCACAAGCGTAGGTTTTCTCCACTAGCACTGAAAAACTTGTGTGTGTGTATATATATATGTATGTATATATATATATATATATATTTTGTTATTGAACAAGTTATCCTCACCCCAGTATTCCCTTTTTGTTTCCCACAGGATTCTTTGAGATGAAGATGAAGTATGATGAAAGTGACAATGCTCTTGTCAGAGCATCCAGAGCTATGACTGACACCGTCACTGGCTTCCTGGGTAAGGCTCTCCAATAGTTGATTTTTACTCGTCATTGTCATAATCTCTTATGATTGTCCCGTCCAAACTGTTCTTCATACAATACAATTGATAAATTGTTCCCAATAAATTGTTGTCGGTGTTTGTTTTCCAGGTGGTCTTTTTTCTAAAACGGAGATGTCCGAGGTGCTGACACAGATCGTGAAGGCAGACCCCACCTTTGACAAAGACTCTTTCCTCAAACAGTGTGAGAAAGACATCATCCCGAACATCCTGGAGGTAAACCGACGCCTCTACTGTCTCAGTTTGTCCTTGACTGCACTCCTCTCTATGCTCTGCTCAATACCTGAGGGTACTTCACAAAGGAGTTCAAGAAAAGAGTTACTGATGGAGGTGTTGCTTCATTAAAAGTGAAATTATACCTCATCTTACATTAGATTGAGTAAGTTAATTTGTGTTGGAATTAGTCAAATCAGGCTGGAGCTGTCTGATTTTAAAGCTGAGCAGCAAAAGACGTAATTAGAATTATTGATGATAGGAAACACTCAAAACAATGTGTTGTTTCCTTCGTGGTCACAGAACAAGAGCTGATGATGCAGTTAAAAGCATATAATAATGACAAAAGACGTACATTTCTAGTTTAAATGAACCTGGAAATCAATTGTCACTCACATGAGTTTGAATAGTTATCTAAACGCACTGAATTTGTTGTTATGGAATGTAAATCTGACATTAAGACTACAAGACAATGGAAATAGGAATGATTTAACAAAGAAAGGTTGGTTGACTGGTTCAGCTCACCTTGTGAAACCTTCTGCTGTAGTAAACAATCAACGTTGACACAGTGTCGCTGTTCTTTCTGCAGGCGATGATCCGTGGAGAGCTGGACGTATTGAAAGACTGGTGCTATGAAGCTGTAAGTCATATGCTGCCTCGACATTAAGTATTCAATTAAACTCTAAATAAATACAGCATAGACGTTGAAATGTTTGTTTTTTTAATTTCTAAAGTCTGACCTCAAACCAGCTGCATCTCTTTATTTAGTTTTATATCTTGTAATATATTTACATCAGGCAATTTCTTTATCTCTTTCTCAGTGCTCTGATGTATTTGCAAATAGGCAAAATGAACTAGAAATAGAAGCCTTCCCTAACGGGGAACTACTATGTTGGTCTGTCCACTTTAGTTGACATACAAATATGTGTGAAGCTTCATTTCATGCCGAATGTGTTTTTATTTACCTGCCCTTAGACGTACAGTCAGCTGGCTCACCCCATCCAGCAGGCCAGAGCGCTGGGGCTGCTCTTCCAGTCCAAAATCCTGGACATTGACAACATAGATGTAAGCGCTCGTACACCAGCCATCGCACACATTGCCTCATACTTTACTGTGTTCTCAAATTTCTAAACCAATATCTGTTGTTATTGTTTCTTCCCTTTTGTGATGTTCTCATTTAATTTGTTTGTTCATGGTCTTTTCCTGTGCTGTAGCTGGCGATGGGTAAGATGATGGACCAGGGCCCGGTCCTGATCATCACCTTCCAGGCTCAGGTTGTTATGGTGATCCGCAGCCCCAAAGGAGACATTGTGGAAGGAGATCCGGTCAGTAGACTCATGATCACCAGAATAGTGAATCTGATATAATCACAGACATTTCAGGGAAGTGAATTACTCAAGTGGCTGAAATTATATCAGCACTCCTCAACACGTGTCTGTTTTTCATGTAGCATTAGGAATCTGGCTTCTTTTACTTCATGTGACTAATACAGTAATATTTAACATGCTGATAACGATAAATAGCTCGTGTGAATAAAAACATATTGCATCTAGTCTGTCCAGCAAGTTGCATCATACATCATGAAAGACATTTAAATGTATTGTGGTTGTTCACCTAGTCCTGAAATGTGACCTCTCCTTATGGTCTCTACGGTATTGACCCTGTGCTCTCCTCCTCCCCCCCCCCAACAGGAGAAGGTGATGAGGATGATGCATGTTTGGGCGTTGTGTCGTGACCAGGAGGAGCTGAACCCCAACGCAGCCTGGAGACTCCTGGACATCTCCGCCTCCAGCACGGAGCAGGCCCTCTAGGAGGAGAGCAGGGGGAAAAGGCAGACATGAGAGACGCGCAAACTGTGAAGGAGGGAAGAGACACAAGGACGTGCCTGGAACACCTGCACGTACTGTCTCTCACACACACATACATTTACATCTGAGGGCAGAGTGCACCCATTCTCCTGTGTCCTGCCAGAGACTGTGTTTGCGCACAGAGGATTTATGTGCACATGTCAATCCATCCCCTCTACGGTGCGAAGACATACATGAACATAGTGATTCGCTCGGTGTTTGGGTTTCCAGGTGGAGCGTGAACACAGAACACTTATATTCATTTTCAGATGGATGGAACCAACTTCTACAACAACTGGCTAAAAGAGGAGTGTGTATCATTCCCATGATCGTTTCATCCAGTGGTACGGTCCATCCACACCGGGCTGGTGGCTGCATCCAAGAGGATCGGTGGAAGACGATCGACATCACACCTGTGACTTTGCCTGCTGGTCTCGTGAGGGACGACTGAAGCCTCAAACTAGATTTAATGTCGCCACTGTCTTTGTCAAATAATATAAACAGGGAATTAGAATTTGGGCGGAGGCACGGAGCCTTGTTGCAACAACCAAAAAAGCTAAGTGTCAGCATGAGAGACCGTGTTAATCAAGGCAATCGCGCTTCAAGTTAAAGGGGCACGCCACCAATTTCACACATGCAGATCGGTTTACGTGTCACACAGAGTTTACTCCTGTATGTTGTCATCTGTGGTTCTGAAGGGAGTTTATTAAAATCTGATAAATTAGCCCTGATGATGTCATCAGTTACCACAGATTGGACTTCACATTTTTAACAAAAAGCCTGTGTTACAAATTTGGGATGTGGACTTTGAAAGAAATAAGCATTTACCACCAGGCAGGAAGGGTCTAACGAAAGATTGAGTTGCATTATGGGAAACACAGGATTCGTTGTTTTTCAAGCTTGGCCATTATTATAGGATAAAGGTCAGGTTATCCAAGCCTGTGGAGCAATACTAAATGGCTGGAGTACAACTTGAAGGCTTAAAGTGCAAATTGTACTTTAAGTGTCTGCCTGCCTATGTCCATGAGGATCTGCCAACTAAAGTGTGAATACTTTGCCTATGCAGTCGCCCAATGTAATACAAACAGAACGACACATCCACTGTCAAGAGTATATACATACGGCTCTTTAATGCCCACTTAACAAAGAATACCAATAAATCCCATAAGAGAAGGTGAAATTAACCACTGAGACGGTCTTCAATGTTTTTAGACTGTAAATGGTTGAAGTTTTCTTTTTCGAGACCAAATTACCAATAAAATAAATGACTTCTTAAAGAAGTCTACCATTGTCGCCAAAATCCAGCTGTGGTTGTTTCTTCTTGGTTCCTTCTGGCTTTCACGTCAAAACCTTATTAAAACTTGAGAAGTACATCAAGTCAGACAGGTTTGAACCATAGTACATGTATGTAAATGACCTGTGTAGTCGGGGTCCATGTTGTCGCGTGTACTGTAGCTCAGAGCGCCCAATGCACCCGTGAAGCCACGAGCAACTGGAGAACACGTGTCCTTGTGTTTTGAAAGGCAGCACATGTTTTCTCAAGTTGCCGTGCATCAGGCTCCCAGTCACTGTACATCCACTCTCAATAAGAACTGCATTGTATCTACATATAAATATAAGCGCTCAACTCCTTGTAAATATATTAAATGTTGAGTACTGCTTCTTTGTGAGAGGGACCACATTCAAATATGTCTTTTTGGCATCTTTATGGTTTGATGATCATTTGCCATCTCATGTTGTATACTTTCCAGCCGTTTGTTTTACTAAAAATGTTTGGTTTACTGTTGCTGAAGATGGAAACTTGAATGAATAAGCACATTACTGTACCCGTTGTGTTGACTGACATGTTTACTGTGTGACCAGGTGGGTCTCTGCTCGCATGGCCCTGACGATTGAACCCATTATGATTGTACTGTAACTCTCTTTACTTGACTATTCAATTAATCTACAGAAAAGTCCATAATTGTGAAGAGAAGTTGATAAATATATTTAGTGCCTAGAATATACCACCATCATTTGAGCATGTTTTGTTTGGATAACAGTTCATTCATGGCCAAAGCATGTGATGTGAGATGGTGTGATACAGACTAGATGTCATGGTCACACCGTGCTCGAGGAACATTCCTTCTGTGTAGTGGTTTTGTTCACTCCTGGGGATGAGAAGAAGCAAGAATTGGCAATTCTTTCAATTATAAAAGTCAAACAATAGATGAGAGGACTCATTAAGGAGAGACACCCAAGGTGAGCAGGTTAGAAGATTTAACTAATGGGTATCATACTTACTCAGTCATTTACTTACATTAAGACAATTATTTATATGTAAGTGTTTCAATATGCAAATGAGGTATTGTCCTATCAAATATGTGCTCATTTAAATCAAGTTAAAAATAGTTGTTTGTCACAAGAGTCCAATGTTTTTACAGAGGCACTTTTGGATATCTCTTTGTATCACTCCATGAATCCTAAAATACTGCAACAGCCATTCAAAAAATAAGCCAAATTGCCATGTTTTTAGAAATAAAATGCTATTCAAACCAGTCTATGATTGATATATATATACAAACCCCTCTGTGAAAAAAATCTGAATATATTTAGGATTGAAACTGGAAGGTCTGTTGTGTGTACGAGCTACTGAAGAGATTTCTGGCTCAGAGAAAACGGCCTTTTTAAAGATGTGGTTTGTAAAATCTCATACATTTTACAAGACACGACAGGGGAATAGGGTAAAATATTTTAAATTAATAGGTATCGCTACAATCGTGTTTTTTTTGTATTAAAAATTTTTGGGAAATTCCATGTTTGAAATGCAAACAAGGCATATAATGCTACAGACGAAAAGAAACAAAGTGTCGTAAAATGAACACCTAAATGTGTGATTTGGATGTTTTCTTTCCTCTCGTCTGAAAGAAGACAAAGTTATAGATGGACAACAGCCCAGAATCTCAACAATGAGCAGTGCATGAAAAACAAGAGGCTGTATTTGCTTGAGGAGTCTCGCCTTAAAAAACATGCATGTGATGCTGTGAAGGGAGAGACTGAACAACATGTGTTGCGTGTGTCATGCGTGACGCTGTGAAGGGAGAGACTTTGTGAGAAACACGTGGCAGTACTTAATCAGAAAACACTGTAATTCAGACTTACATGGAGTAGACTGTACCTGCTCACAGCTGGTCTATAGCAACAGATCTCAACAAGTATTGGTCAGATTGCCATGAAATATGGTTTAGATAAGAAGAAATAGATTCATGAGTTTTTCTATTTCTATCCAGTAATATGTCTGTCAGCAGAATAAAGGGTGCTGTATTATGATTCCCTTCGCACAAGCTTTCTTAGAGTCAGCAGCTTTCTATGTTTTGTGTGTGTTTGTGCTCACAAGAGAAAATTAAACTGCACGTTCTGTGTGTCCTTTGTTTTCTCATTTAGAAACTGACATGCTTTGATAGATGTCCATTGACGATGGTTGATAAATCTATGTATTTGGTAGTATAGGGATTGTGAAGGATTTCAGTATTAAAAGCATTATTAGTAGAATTTAATAACACCCCTAGTGGTGAGTAGAAGTGTCACAATAATAAGAATGTCAAAATATGTTAAGAGTCACAAAATATGTTTACTTATGGAATGTATTATATGTTTACAATATAGTTACTTGTAGAGGATATTATATGTTACAGTATTTTACTCATTGAATGTATTAAACCATAGAAGTATAGTCACTGACGGTATTAAAACACTGTATGAATAGTTTTGAGGGTCAGAAAGGGAACATTTTGAGTGAGGCTTTTACAGAGGTGCAGCAGAGGACAGAGGGATGGACAACTGACCAGCAGGTCACAGGAGGAGGAGTCCGGACGACTTCAACCAAACACTGAGATGATAACTGCCCGAAGCCAGGAGGGGCTATTGAATTTCGGCCAATCACAGAGGCTGATACTGGACATTTAAACTTTAGGACAAGGACTTTTAAATATAGGCTTAGTTCCAGAGGGTTTTGCCAGAGTTCGCGCTGTTACCACTCTGGGTGACCAGCTGCTGAAGGTTTGCAGCAGCGAAAGTCCCATCTGGGTCTCCCCTGAAAGGGTCTAGCCCCAACAGGATGATAGATCAGGCTTTAAATAACGAGTGCCTATAGATCCACACAGGGCCTATACAGGAGACCTCATCCCATAGCTGTCTGCTGTGATGAATGACGGGGGACGTCCTTATACTAACTAACCTTTGTTTCTCCGAAGCTTACTCGCTTCTCTTGACAGCGACCGAAGCCTACTGAGGGTTGATTCCTCTGTCATCTAAGCTAAATGAAAGTTAATCCTTGTCAGTTATCAAGTGTTATTCATGTCAGGCACAAGTTAACAGTAAAAAAAAACATTTCAATTGCAGCATATGTTCAGAGCATTCTTCTGGAAGAAGTCCATGTTTTGCCCTCCGAGCAATGAGCACTCTTATGGTACCGATTGAATGGAGATTAATGCACCAACGTAACAGCCTGGAGGCCGAGCAGTACTCTCCTTTATCTGCTTTTTAATCACAGTATGTTCTTGGAGGCACACTGCTATCATGTATACACCAAGCTGTGCTCTAGTTTACATAATAAAAAGGCTTTAAGTGCAGTGTATGCAGCAACATCCGACCATTATGTAAGCAGCTATCAAACTGTCAAAATGCTTATTTAGATACTTACATTTATCTTTGTGGTTGTTTTAGGTTGTTTTTTTATGAGAAGCACCGGCGACACACAGTGTACATATTTGAGAGCGGAATCGATCTTCTGTAAGGAAAAAAGAAATGTATTTCCAAAAATATCAAACTATTCCTATAACTATAAATATCTATTTAATCATAATTACTAGTCAATTTTGAACAGAACAGGTTAATATATAACTTTCTCTGCCTTTGTAAAAACTGTTATGTGTCTCCCGTGTTATAACAAGGGCTGCCTAAAAGGATCAAACCAGGGCAACAGAGGCTTAAGAGCGCCACAAGGTTTGAGTTAATCAGACTCACCTGCTGTCATGGGTCCAGACATCCTGTCACGGTGACCTGAGTCTGCTGCCTGAACCACAGCTTGACCTCTCAGTGGACCATCTGTAACAACAAGGGGGATAGCGATGAAAATGTTGAATTTCATAACCTTGCAGGCTGGAGACCTTTATCAACTAAGTCCCCAGTAGGCGGCCTGCTGGAGCACTGCTCAGTGTGATTTGATTACGATCCCCTGACGATTAATTAAAACTTCGGGGAGATCCCATGTGTCCTCAGGCAGGGAGGATGAGGATGTGTACGTACTGCAATCTGCCCCAGTGTTTGTACAGTTTTAATTGAGTTAATTAATTGCTTCTCACAGTGAGTATGTGGAGCTGAGCCACAGGTGCAGTCAGGTTGCTCCACTTGTTTTGTTTCACATCATGACCGCAGCATTTCTTGCAGTTCAGCAAAACGTCCAATGCAGTCTGACGTTAGATTTAACTAAATCATCTGGTAGAACTGGCTGTAATGAGGAAGTCTTCCACCAAGCATGTGCAATCTGCAGGCCTTCCTTTGTAAAGTGCACTTTATTAATGCATCAACTTTGTCTCGACCTTCTGTTTTCCAGACAAATCATCAAGTCAACAGTTTCTATGTCTGATTTCATTTTGTTCTAAACTAATTAGTGTTTAATATAATTACTACTAACTACACAGCGCAGTAAAGCTGGAGGGTAGTCAGTCACAGCAGTTTACTTCAGCCATGTCTTTTTTTTTAAATACTGAAGTTGTGGGTCCAATCGATCCAAAGCCAACATTAATACTATGTAAAATCTCTAAACCGTCTTAATTTTGGGGGCTTTTCATAGCTACCTGATCAACTGCATGAAATGCTATTTTATTTAAAAAGAGCAGTTATTTTAAGGGAATTTCTCACAAAACTACTTTATTCTATTTGTGCTGTTTTAAAACTCTCTCCACGCTTCCAGGAATAATGGTGGAGAATAACTGAATCCCAGGGTTAGAAATACTGTAATCAGCCTAAAAATGTGTAAATAAAACTCAAAATTGCCAGAAACAAATACAGACGACTTTAATATCCTCCGTGAAACTACGACCCTCTATAATGTCATTACATTTCCTTCGTCACATTTGTCTTTTGATATCGCTCAGTCCAAACTAACTTAAGAACTCTACTGTATAGGATTATTCTCTCTTTTGAAGTAAACAACCATAAAACTCATATTGGCTGCATGGCTAGGGTCCCTCAGTGTCCATGCCCCACACACTCCTCTTACATAATGCAAAAGCCACACATGGCTCCCTGCGCTTCACTCATCCAAACGAACAGATTATGTGTGCAGTCCGTACAGGGGCAGGCATATTAAGTGGGCTGCGAGGTGGGGCGGATCCCTCAAACAGCACGGACTTAAAGCTCCAGTAAAGCAAGAGGAGGTGCTGCAGGACGTGACAGAGATCAGACCTGAAGCGAGCCCGGAGCTGTCTGCAGTGCTGAGCGGCTGCTGCTGCTGCAGGATCATCATCATCATCATCACTCTGTGTTTCTCAGTGCATGTCCTCACAACAGCCGGGAAGTAAGTTCTCTAATCTTATCATCCTCCAGTTTGTCATTGTGTGAACTTTTGTATGCAGACAGCGTGGAACTTAAAACTTCATGTCCATTAAATTGGAAATATGTACAACATTGTTGGTTCACCCTTCTGGGAAGAATTCATTAAAATTCAATGTTTTTAAAACAAGAAAAATATTCACATCCCTTATTTAGACAGGGGTGATCCATTTTGCTTAATTTCACAGATTGGTGAGGCACCAACATTTAGAACGGTACTCGTTGAGTTAAGGACGAGTTAATTCTGTTCTTGGAGCAACTCTTCACACTATAAAGGCGATCTACCCACTGCATGATGTTCATCTCTTGTCCTGCATTGTAAGGACATAACAAACGTAGAACAAGTGTTTTAAGTTTCAGATGGTTGCAATAGAAGCTTTATAAAGAAGATGAATGAAAGCTCTTTTAACAGCAGTTAAACAAAAGTTCAAAAATGCCTGTCTTTGACTCTTCATTCATCCATGTGATCAAGAAATCTTATTGCTTTTCACCACAAGAATAAACATCAAACTACAGAAAGCCTTTGGGGTGATATAATCAGAGATCACTGCCAGCAGGGATTAAAAAAAAAAGATGGAGGCAACAGCATTGTGAAGTATGAAGTTATTCATCTGACATTTTTAGATAGCATTCAATCAGAAACGTCAGATGACAGAGAGCTCGTTGCTTCAACTACAGATATGTGGCTTTGGTTAGCGTGACAGTCCCACATTCAGGGTTTACTCTAGACAACATCATTTCACCCTTTTATTCGGAGAAGTCCTTGACATTTTCAAAGCTGCTGTCGTAATCCACAGGTATAAATGGGAGGTATTACGGCCACGAGGGACACCATATGTTACTGCTCTGTCCTCAGAATACACTGGCCTGGCTGTTTGACATTTTTCTCTCTTTCATTGCTGTTTTTAAATGTAAAACTGTGATTCTGTGACATTTGTCAACATTTTACTTTCAACCTGGACTCCAGTATAGCTAAAAGTAATTTGTCTGTGTGTGTAAATCAGACGTGGTCAGGCCCCACGGTGTGATTTATCTGCTGCTTAGGAACCAAAGCAGGTCTCTCAATGAGGATTGATGAGCCATGAAATTGATGTTGCTCATTCTTTTATATTCTGTATTTGTTTTTGACCAGTTTGTCCATCCTCCGTGGTGTTTGTCTCAGGATGACCTTGGATAACCTGCTTTTGAAAGGCCATCTTTAATGGAGCCGAATATCTGCAGAGTTTGCTTGTGAATAAGTTTGCGATACAAAAATGTGTTTTGTTTGTCTTCCTCAGTAGCCCTCCCCTACTTGATATTCTGCCAATGTAGCATCGAGAAAACTGTCAAGTAAAGTTGCAGTGAGTAGCAGAAAATGTCCGATGTGTTGCGTAACTCACTGTACATTCTGACGAGGCACATTCCCAAAAGGAGTTCAGAGGGAAAAAAAACTCAGTAACTTTAAAATCCAGTCTTGTATCATTTTCTTTCATGTTTTTTTGGCAGCTGTAAAATCAAACTATAAAATTGTCTGTGCAAAAGCAAGGTAATGCTCTACTTCACGGCTCTCTCTCTCTCGGTCATTTAGCTTCCCTCTATACACGCAGCTACCTGAACTGTCCAGCCTGATGTAACCACAGGCCAGTTGATAATTGATACTGAGGCAGGCAGTTTCTTTCATTATGTCTTCAAGTCCCCTATTAAAGCTGCTCTTGGCCCTTAAGTCCCATCATCCAGAGAGCAGGGGAGCTATCAACATGTCTTTTGCGAGGATCAGCGGGGTGGTGAGGAGGGAGACGAAGCCTCCTGGAATAGAATCTGCTGACTAGGGGAGTGCACCTGCAGCAGGAACTGTCTCTCCACTCCACGGCCCATTTAAGAGCCCACAGAGAGCGTTTCTGCGAGTGATGCAACTCTCTGAGGGTTATCTTCATATTATTCTCTTCCGTCATCAGTTTGATATATTTATCTTGTACTATGTTGTATTTGAGTTCAAAATAGGGGTAGTGTTCCTGTCTTGTCTCACTTATTTTTCTCACGAGAAAGATGAGCAGATTGGACATGGTGTAATAACAGCTTTACAGTGAGACTGTGCTGACTGGGGGTAATGCATGAGCTCTGAACACCCTGAATCAATCAGTCTTTTCCCTCCATTCAGCAAACTCTGCATGCTGGAAACTCACTCACTCATGTTGCGTCTCGTCTTTGTTTATTCCCCCTCAGGTATCTTGAGGAGTGAATCTCCAAATGAACACGTTACTGGTGAATCAAGATATAAATTAGCAGCTCTTTCAGTAAATCAACAACTCACTGCAACGCGGCCAAACAATTCGAAGGGGTTCGAAACGAAAACCTTTGCTGAAGCATCACAACGCGGATCATTGACAGCCAGCGAGCACTTTGATTGATCTATGGAACATCTTCAGCCACTCGGCTGAGATTTATACTTCACTTTGTAAATCCCCATTAGTGACCCTCTAGGGCTGCTACTGGATGAGCGATATTGACAAATGAACTAAGGACTATACAGATGATCTGAAATTGAAGTAGTGACCTCAGCTTTTGTTTGCTTTTATTCGATTTTCTTGAAAGCAAGTGAGCCTAAGTGGAAGAAAGAGAGAGGGACAGTTAAATCTAATTAAACCTCACTGAGCATGCCTCAGCGTGCTGCTCTGCTAACTGGAGGGCTTATTCATTTGCACTACTGATTTGCCCCGTGTTGTTTTCCTGCTGGAACCGTTTCTTTGCCCTGTGGCTTGTGGGAAACACTGAGTTCAATCTGTTGACATCTGCCAGATTTCACAATGTGATCCCTCTCTGGGTTTAGAAATCACACTCACTTTAGGTTGAGGTTATGCCGTTCCTCATAGCTTCTGACTGCAAAATAAAATGTGTACAGTAAACAATTTCAACCTCCAAAACATTCCCTGACTTCCAAGATGAGCGACGCAAACTACTGGGTTGTGGACTATGATCTCTCCACTCCTGCTCCGTCTGGGTTCCCCAGGGGCCCAACGGTGCAGCAGCCCATGCCGGGGCACCCCGAGCAGGGAACGGCGCTGTGTTTCGTTGGCCTCCTCGTGCTGCTGCTGCTCTTTCTCGTCGTTCGCTGCGTCCGTATCTTATTAGACCCCTACAGCAGCATACCAGCCTCATCGTGGACGGATCATAAGGAGGGGCTGGACAGAGGACAATTTGATTATGCACTGGTGTGAAGATGAGGGGGGATCGGGAGATGAAGAGAGGGATGAATTTGGAGACATGTTAAGGTTCTGCTAAAAGCTTCTAGTTCCAAAGATTCAGCTCCTTAAAATGAAAGAAACTGCATTATGTTTGTTGTTTGGTTGGGGTATTGTAATGCAAGCTGTAAAGATACCAGCATAAAAACGATATTAAACAGTATCTGTACAAGGATTCAATCCAGAGAGAAAAGGAGCAGACGCCAGAAGTCCCGCATCTATTTTAATTCCCAGTAATTAACGTCATATTGGAGACTGTTAGGTGGGTATGTTGTTACACTGCAGCTTCTAGAGTGACAAATTGCAGGAAGACAGCGATCAGTATCACAGCATTACCTTATGACTCCTGTTTGTCCTGTCATTTTGTAATTCTATAATGTTTCTACAAATCCCAGGGCTGAATTATAAATAGAGAGCAGAGCTGCTGCAAGAGAGGTCCTGATTAAATAAAAGTGAAATCGAATGAGTTTAGGGTAGACATGGAAGTCATTCAGACAGAACTAATATGCACTGTTGCAGCAGATTTAAAGCAAGATTGAGACCTTTATACGTCGATTTGCTGTTAAAATGTAAAAGTCTTTCTGTCTTTTTTGGAAGTGCAGCTGAACGAACAATTTAGAAGATGTCAAAGTTTCTCTGGAACAGGAAACCTGCTTTTATGTGAGCCATGCTGGATATTGTGAGGCATTTATACGACCTCTAACATGATCCTCAGGTATAATGATTTCTATTTAACCTAAGCCTCGATAATTAGAGGAAATCGCCTCCTGAAATTGAGCTTTAGCTAATATTTGTATCTCTCTATTTTCTTCAATGTGTCCTGAATTTCAACCTTATCCCCCTATACAAGCTGTTGTTTATAATACATAACAGTTTATACTAATTATTTTATTTGGGGTTTTGTTATTTCATGTCGCCATCCCTTTAAGAGGCTTATGAGGCTCAGTGCAGAGAGTCACTATACGCTGACTCAATACGAGTCGTATAAAGTTATGATTATGAAATGCATGTACACCAATTTCTTTTCTCTAATCCTTTTTGCCTTTAGGCCCAGTCCAGTGCACCAGCCAAATCTGTTCAACAGTGCCTGTAGGAATATGAGAAAAGCTAAAAACGATTTCGTACTCACTACTTACTGTCCTTCTGCATCTTGTTTTATAATATTGTTTCTGCCCATATTTTACTGTAAAGTCCTCTCTATAAATAAACTTAAGTATTGATATTTTTGGGATTTGTTAAAAAGTTGTTTTGTTTCATTAATGATGACCAAAAGTTTAGCAATACCAATTATATTGTGTATGGTCTTACTTCCCGGATGTAGACTCTTGCTGGTAATAATTAAATATTTTCCGAATGTTTCTTGAAATTAGCATTCAGTTTTTAATGAAATAAAAAGCTTTTGTCCTGTCTTTTTATAAAGTTGCATCGCTTTGCAGTACACACACATAAAAACAGACACACACACACACTCACACACACACACACACACACACACACACACACACACACACACACACCTAACACTTTTACTTGAGCAAACACTGTCCTCACTGCTGCCCTACAATCAATTCAAGCAAGATTTAGAGCACATGAAATCAATTGGAGGCTTGTAAAGAGACACAATCAGTTAATGTATGAGGACCGGCCCTCACAGAGTCAGACCGGCCCCCCAGGACTAAATATATCCCTAGCTGACTGACATGGACCCTCAGCACTCTGCTTGTTTGGATGGAAAACATACATAAGAGAAAATCTGTGGCATTTTTCAAAACATCTACGTCAGTCATCACAAGAAAATAGCAAAAGCACTAAACTAAAATATTTAAAGAGATTTAGGTCAAATTGATGAGGGACTCCGTTTTCAAAAAGAGTGGTTTTCCTTCCTAATCATAAAAAAACACTGTTTCATTTAGTTATAGAGTGTTTAAAGTGCATTTCCTGACTGCGCCTCCAGTTTCCTTTTTCAGCGTATCCCTTGTGGTAGAGCTCCCTGGCCTTTGCTTCACTCGGGAACTTCTGATTAGCTGTGACCTCTTCTGGATACTTTGAGAACTACAAGTGTGAGTCCACTGATAACTGTGGGATCAATGAGTGTTCAAATGTGCTTCTAAAGAAACACATGAGAAAGTTTGGGGGTAAAAGTCATTCAAAACTACTTTTAAGAAAAACAATTGTGAATAAAAATATGGGGGAAATGATAGATAAATGCATACATGCATACAATCGCTTACTCAAAAGTCATTATGCAGACTAAATAATGAACGATATTATACAGTCCATTTCCACAGTACATTCATTCAAGACATTCACATCCCCCTCAGGAAAAATTGTTGTAACTTTGGTGACTTGTCCTCTAGAGCCATCATCAGGTCAAAAGATAAATATTTCCAGTACTTTGGTATATAATTACATACATTCCAATCAGCCTCAGTTGTACTTTGTGTAATTAGCACTGGTTAGCATGCTAAACTAATGCTAATATGCTAAACTAAGACGGCAAACAAGGTAAAGATTATACCAGCTAAAAATCAGCATGTTACCATCTTCATTGTGAGCATGTAAGCATCAAAACGTTGGCAATAAGTAAGGGCAAGTTATCTGGCACAAACAGTGCACAGCCAGCCAAACTGGACTAAAACGGCCCTTTTCAGTTTTTGCTTCAGTGCGTCCTGACAATTTATTTCGTTGACAAAACAACAAAAGCACTCGGTCCCCATCAGTCTCTCACATGTGTACACAGATATACAAATAAGGCTGGATCACAGAAAAACAGGACCTCAGGGCTGACATGCATGACGGACGCTGTTCCGTGTTAACATACTGTACATGTGACACTTCCAACATGCCACAACATTGCTTGGTAAACCAATATTATATTGGCTAGTAATACTATTATAATTATTATCATTTAGTTGTTTATTACTAATCAAAAATATATACATTTCACATTTGTCAAATTTTAGAAGTACTGTAATGTTACTGTAATGGCCGGTGTTGTAAGCTCTGCTTATTTGATTACATCTCACTCTCACTACAATTTACATGCAGACGTTAGACACACAGAAAAGGCAGGTGCACAGAGTATGCAAATAAATATCTTCCTGATTCTGGACAGGGTCAATTACTGGTAGTCTGACTCAATCCCACAGAAATGCACAGAAACACACTCTTACATACAACACAGCCTTTACGTAAACATTAATGAATCGAATAATACACCGATGCCTTACACATAACACAGCTGTGCTGTCCTGACTGATACAATAATAGCTCATCTGCATAACAGTAGTGATGTTGTCAGCTGTCAGACAGCCTGCTTATCTCCATCCACAACAATAGTAGCTGAGTGTGCTGAAGAGCAGGTTGGTGTGTGAGGACTGGGTGTGTCTGCATGGGTTCAAGAGAAGCCAGTGACTGTGTTTGTGTGTTTTAAGGGTGTGCCATCGGGGTTTGTGTTACAGCAGGTAAACACACAGCCCTCAATGACAGCATGCACGTATATCAGAGTAAAGTCTGTGTGCTCAACTATGCACATACTTGGTGAGGTCTGTTTACCTTCAAACTAGGAAGTCCTGGATTGTTGCTATGGGTGTTAACAGCCGCTTTCCAAGAGACTGGGCACCCAGGAGATGTCTGTCATGAGCGCAATCTATGATGGAGTATAAGGAAACGAAATTAGATATACTTGTTACTTATTGTCAAAGAAGGGTCAAGCATTGTATGTTTATTATTGAGTACAACTTCTGGTGGAATATAAGGGAATCTAATGAGATGAGTAAGTTTACTGCTGAAAAGCAGCATGAATGCTAAATGCTAAAACGTAGCATGACAATAGCTCCAGTAAAGAAGGGTCATAAAGTCAGTGTCAGTTACAGAACAATATAGATTAAGTTTGCTAACCCTAGTCAGCAAACTGCTCGTACCAGACCAAGTGAAGCAGTAACAATTCAACCATGGTGCGTTTTATTTTATCACGATTTCAACTTTTCATTTGTAAAAGGAAGAATGTGTTTTTTCTTCTCACAAACCTTACATAATATCACTGCTGTTGTGATGTGTGTTTAACTTTATGCATGTGCAAACTAACTCCATTGCCGTTTTTATGAAATTATAAAGTGACGTTACTGAAAACCTGCTGCAGTGTTTCCTTTGTTGCCCATGCTGAGTTACTGACTGGGCTGTGATTGTGAACAGTCGCTGTGGGAAAGAGGCGCCCCTCGTGTTTAGCCGCTCAACCATCAAGCTGCACTTCATCCTCCTGTTAGAGACAGACACGGAATACGGGAAGCCTTCAGAATAAAAGCTACACCTGAGTTACTTAAGACAAAAACAGACGTCTTTTCACCTTAAATCATTACAAACGGCAACGGTCTCTACCAGTGGCTATTATTTTGAAATTAGTAGTATCTGCTCTTCCTCGTGCCTAACTTGACACCTGAGCGACCCGTCTCCTCTGTGGTGAAGTCGTTAGGGATACAGCGGGACGGAAGCGCATCCCCAGCCACACAAGGCTGCAACAAATTCACAGCTTAAGGTGGATTTTATTCTTCTATCCCCTCAGGATCAGTTCATCACTTCCATCGAGCTGCGGACAGGTGAGTCTCTGCCATGCAGCCCGTTTCTTTCAACAGGTCAACTACAACTTGGTGTGTTTCACCTTGGAAATGAATAGACTACCTACTGTACTTCCAGCTGGTTTTCAACAAAGGCAATATGTTTTCGTATGCTTGTGCTGCTCTAAACTGGAGTATTTATGATATAGTCTGCTATTATATTGTTTCACAGCCTTCTGAACCACACGCATGGTTGTTTTGTTGCATTATTGACAAACTGAGTAACATTCCAAAAGGATCTTCAACTTAATGTGTTGACTTATTAACAATGGAATCAAAATTTGTATGTCGTTTTTGTAGCTTGGAATAGAGTCAGTTATCAGATGTGGCAAATATTACAATATGTTGTCCATAAGCTTATGTGCCAACATAATATTCCTTGTTTGTTTTCTCTCTCTCTCTCTCTCTCTCTCTCTCTCTCTCTCTCTCTCTCTCT